GGAACAGGAGTTTCTGTTTCCTGTAACCGGCCAGACTGACAGGAAGTGCACACTCAGTGTGCACCTTCCTATCACTCCGGCCGGCCGGCCACCGCGGACCGGAGTGCAGCTCGGCCACGCTACAGGGGAGGGAGGGGAGAAGCTGCAGCCGCCTGACCGCTCTTCACAGAGCACTCAGGCGGCTGCAGTATTTAAAGGGCCGGCCCCAGGTGCCGACGGCCCACCGGGAAATTTCCCGGTATCCCGGTGGGCCAGTCCGGCCCTGTCTGCATCTCCTCAAAGAGATGCATTGAATCAGTGCATCTCTATGGGGAGCATTCAGCACCACCATGCGGAGCATGAAGATGCTGTACAAAGGTCCTGCAAAGATTGCACGATCTAACCCAGGAAGTCCCTCTAGAGGCTGTATACCAATTGAAAAAGCCCACACGGCGAAACGCGTCTTGGTTGGAAATTTCTGCAAGAAAGGACTGTATTATTTATTGCTTTTACTTTGAGTTTTAGTTTTTATGCTCTGTTTTAATCCCATTTTTATTTGGAAATAAAATTACTTTACAAGTCCCACTACATCTTTATTTCATCAGTTCCTATAGGGAAGTGTCACCCTACAATTTGACACTACACACAAAGTTGGGAGCTAATTATATTAACAGGCTCCTAAAAAGGTGAGCACATTTCCTGCCATATTTGATTATCTCTACCTACTGGATTCAAACTATCTGCACCTAGATTGCTGTATCTCTTCTATTTTTCATATATATACCTGTGAAAGAAAATCGATATAGAAGAAGGTCTTGAAGCCACCTTAAAAGGCTCTAAAAACTATAGTGTTTAGAGCCTATACCCCCAAAAAGGCTCTAAAAAATGTGAGTGTACATAGATTTATTCACTCTCACTGCATATTTATAAATCATATTGCACAATTTCATATATTTTTCGCTTTTATTACATGTAATTCTACCCCATACATTTTGAAGGGGTAAGTAACAAATTGCACAGCGCTGCACTCGCATTTTGGTGTTTAGGTGGTTGGGCATATCACCTAAACAACTAGTGTGTTTGTTTTAGAACTGTAAGACCATGGCAGGTAATTCTGGTGACAGGACAATGTTCCAACAGAGCCAAAACGCTGTACCAATCTGCATTTCCTCAAAGAGATGCATTGAATCAGTGCATCTCTATGGGGAGCATTCAGCACCACCATGCAGAGCGTAAAGATGCTGAACAAAGGTCCTGCAAAGATTGCACAATCTAACCCAGGATGTCCCTCTAGAGGCTGTCTAAGTGACAATTGCTAGAGGTGTTAGAAGTGTAATAAGGCAGCAATGTAATGAGACACTTTAGTGTTCGTAATACACTAAAAAAAACTTTAGCTTAAAGAAGCAGTTTTGGTGTATACATCAATCCCCTGCACTCTCACAGCCTAATTATCTACCATTTTAGAGTTGAAGAGACACTAAGGGCATCCAAAACAACTTTAGTTTAATGAAGCAGTTTTGGTGTATGACCCTGCAGTCTTACTGCTCAATTCTCTGCCATTTAGGAGGTAAATCACTTTGTTTATGCAGCCCTAGAACCACCTCATGTGACTCACTCAGCCTTCCAAAACACTTCCCGCAAAGACAACTCTAATGTTTAAACTATCTTTATTGCATGGTCTGATTGCTTAAAAATTTATCTCCTGCTCTGTTAATAGCCTGCGAGACCCTACAGAAGCCTCCTGTGCGCTATTCAAGTTGAGTCTACAGAGCAGGAGATAAGAACTTCTAATGGAAAATTAATACATTTTGTGTGGCAAGGGCTGCATGGACAATAAAAAAAGGGACATTACTCAGTAGACTGAGCAGTGAGACCGCAGGCAGAGCTAATCATAGGGGATGTGGACCACCCAGGTGCTCTGTAGATATGCAGGGTGTATAGCACTATGCTCCGCCACACAGATAGACATGCTATCATTAGGCCCTACCCCCTCTGATACATGCGCCGATCTGGGTGCAGAGCCTAACGAGAGGGGTGGAGTCTACCTATGGTGGCCGGGCCTAGCGCTGCACACCCTGCCTATCTACAGAGCACCTGGGCAGTCCGCACTCCACCAGGATTGACTCTGACTGCAGGAGCATAATCTATACACCCAAACTGCGTCATTAAAGGGTTACTCGAACCACCATGATCACTTCTGCTTTTTTAAGTGGTCATGGTGGTAGGAGTCTGGATGTGCGGTGTTTCAGCTTGAAACACTGCACATCCAAAGTTATTTAGAATTGTGTGCCGGGGCTATTTACACCTGGCACAAATGACATAGGTAGCCTGGAACTCTGTCTCTCTGCCTAGTGTCAATTCTGTGCATATTTTACATCTATTGTCAGTGTGCACTGCACGCTGCTCTGCTTCTCTCTTACAAGCTCTGTGTTTCCTCTCTCTTCCCCCCTTAATTTCAGCTATCCCTATCCCATCCACTATTTTTTTTATTTTCCTCCCACCATCTTTTTTACCTCCCCACTCCCTCTCCCCCTCTCTTTGATGATTCAGAGCACACACATGCACTCTGACTTAGTTAAATGATCCAATCAAAGAGGTTCTCTGTAGAATAACGACCAAAAGAACATTATGTTATATACAGTACTAATATAACAAAAAGGGTTGAAGTAACTTGTTAAGCTAAATTTGTTGTGATGCCTACAATATCCCTTTAAATAAAGTTGGGTTAAGCCAACAATGTTTTACTGAGCCTAAGAGCCCTTTTGATACTGATAGCCTTTACATATGGAAGAAAAAAGACAAGTTCCAAAAATGGTAAAGGTTGTACAGATAAATTATAAAATGGTGCTTTCCTCAAGAGACACACCTTATAATGAGCAAAAAACGGGTCGCAAGAGTATTCTGAGAACGGACAGCAGCTGAAATAGCCTGCCCTTCGGTGGGTCCCCGCTCAGAACTCAAGCTGGTTTTAGCTCATCTTGTGCCATTACAGAGAGAACATATCTGAAGCATATCAGACTGGTCCCACCCATACGGGCAGTCCAGATCCGAAATGCCAGCAAGCTCCTCAAGAGACACACCTTATAATGCCAAACAAATCTATACTCTAAATACAAAAGGAAGCACACCAAAGTATATAATCAATCACTTTATTGTATAGTCAAATATAACAACCAAAAAATAATTACAACAACATACAAATGATAGAGGCGATAGTTGGCAAACAACAAAGCAAAAAACTGCACATAACACAGAGGACTGAATATGTGCACCACAGGTTTTCCCAACGTTTCGGCACTAACACATGTGCCTTTCTCCAGACTGTCCTTGAGAAAGACACAAGTGTATGTGCCAAAACGAGGAATTGTGGTGCACATGTTAAGTCCTCTGAGGCTTTATGTGAGTATTATATGCAATTGTTTGCTTTGTTGTTTGCTAACTATAGCCTCTACCATTTGTATGTTGTAGTAATTCCTTTTTGGTTGTTATATTTGACAGTATAATAAACTGCTTTATTATATACTTTGGTGTGCTTCCTTTTGTATTTACACCATTTTAAACTTAACTCATTGATGATAACTAGGTAAATCTGTTTTTATGTGCTTGCTATGCCCCTCCCACTTAAAAACTCCCACAAAATAGCCCCTCCCACCTAAACTATGCAGCACTGACATCACAATCAACCTCACAATTGAAAGTGCTGCTACTGCTCCAATAAGTCATTGTACTGCATAGCAGGATAAGGAGCAGGTGGCTAACACAGCAGCACTATATTTAATATATCAAATAATTTATAACTATAACCTAAACTTATACCAGCCAAACATAACATGGATATAGAGCAGACTAATAGTGTAGAGACACCTGAGTCCCAGGAGATTGAGGACCAGGAGAAACCTCCCTGCATCCTTTGGACTGGGAGTTTGAAGAAAACACCAATTGTAAGATTTAGAGCAGAAGCCTTAACTAATGATCCACATCTGCACAAGGTGGGGACTAAATACAAAATGTGCTTTAAGATGGTTGATGCTGGATCTTCCCTTGTTCGCACCATCCTCTCTTCTCATGGATTTCAAGAGGTCCATCCCATCAGCAGAAACTTCAATGTGATGTGGACAGGTCCCCTCAGAAGCACATCTGTTTTGACTAATCTGACCAAGTTCCAGAGAATCAACCACTTTCCTAAATCCTCTGTACTAGGCCAGAAGGATCTCCTGTACAAGAATATTCAGAACCTGCAGCTCAAGCACAGGAACCACAGGTTTGACTTTATACCACCAAGCTTTGTTCTTCCTGATGAATACAATCAGTTTAGCAGAGTTATTTCCAAAGATCAAGGCCCTTGGATTGTAAAACCGGTGTCATCCTGTCAAGGTCATGGAATACAGCTGATTAATTCACTGTCTCAAATAAGCAGAAAAGATAAGCTCCTGGTATCAAGGTACATCCAAAATCCTCTTCTAATTGATGGGTTAAAATTTGACATTCGCCTCTATGTGTTGGTAACTTCCTATGATCCATTAACTATTTATTTATTTAAAGAAGGGATCACCAGGTTTGCCACAAGAAAATATAACTTGACAAAAGAGAACATGAACAACAGATTCGTTCACTTGACCAACTACAGCGTAAACAAGAAAAGTGCATCTTTTGTGAGCTGTCGTAATCCACATGTGGAGGACTATGGCAGCAAATGGAGTATGAGTGCTTTGCTGAATTATTTAAAGAAAAATGGAAAAGACACAGCAACACTCATGTCCAAGATTGAGGATGTTATTATCAAAACTATTATTTCAGCAGAAGGCACTATTGCCTTAGCAAGTAAATCAATGCTTGCGCACAGAAAAAATTGCTTCGAAATATATGGGTTTGACATCCTCATTGATGAGAACATGAAGCCTTGGATGCTGGAGGTTAATTTATCTCCATCCCTCACTTGTGATGCACCACTTGATTTGAAAATAAAGGCTAATGTGGTGGCAGACGCTCTCACTATAACTGGTGTGGAGTGTAAGGATCCCTGTGAGAGGCAGATCAAAGGAGGCTGCACAACATCTGAGACCAGACCTTGCCAGGCAAGAAACAGATCATTTGCAGAGAGATTGGAAATCTTTGAAGGGGTCAAGGATGAAGAAGAGAGGAGTGGGGGTTACATACGGATATTCCCAAGAGAAGACACCTGGAAGCGGTATGGTTCCCTCCTAACTAATACATCCTTGAATCAAGCCCTGGCTTTACATCTTTACCCAGAGAAGGCAGTGGTACGAGAAAGCAGCACTTATGAACCTCAGCAGCAAGTACCTGCATATGAGTGCCAGCTGCCTCCCTTGAAACAAACCGTACGTAGATACCAGGAGATGACACGCAAAGTGTCCAGAGTTGCCAGAGAGGTGCGCCAGGAAATTGAAAAACCTGTCCTGGTAGCAGGGAGCAGGAGACCTTCCAATACTTCTGAAAAATGCCACCACAGAAGAAGAGAACCCAGCCAGGATTTAAACAAACAACCCGATGATCTGCGGCCTAGGGTGTTATGCTCACACCATGCCTCTGCTGGCAGTGTACAGGTGTCAGAGGATTTATTGAAAGCTAGGTTTGAATCCATGAAACAGCAGGAGGAGGCATTATTAAAAAGACGTTCCATTGAAGTTTCAAATATAGTTGCTGGCTTCTCCAGTATTTACAAACAGGCTTTCGGTGAAACAAAACTCTTATAGTGCAGGATGCAGGAAGCTCTCTATTAACTGAAAAGCAGGATGCACACTATCCCAATGTTATGGCTGAGCAGTTTGTAAGACAAATTAATGGAAAACTTTAATTCAAGGTACGTACCCATCTCATGTAATTTTTTTTAATGGGAAACCAGTAATAGGTTAAGAGTGTCAGATGAATCCGAATGGATGGTCTCAGTCTGGATCACTTTGGAGTTTAACCATTTGGCCCTATAACCATTTCATCCGATTGAATTGGTTATAGTGCTTCTAATTCCCTGGTACTCTCTCTTTAGTGACTAAAGAGTCAGTTGACTAGTGTCAACCCATTTTTGAGTGCCCTGCCACCAACAGATTGCCCCCTACTGGTAGTATGGCATAGGCATAACTTACACACCATCAATACCAATTCATGCCAGCAATGGATTCTGTGATAGACTGAAAGCGGTAGGCTGGCACTGTCAGCCAATCAAAGCCACAAATTGCTTCTCAAGCTAACTCTTGTTTAGCATTCAAAGGGTTATTTGCTAAAGTGAGAATTCAAAGTGAATTTTAAATGTACGCTGACTTACAGAAATTTTCCACTTTGGCTATTTTTACCTTACATTTGAAATTTACTTTGAATCCTAATTTTAGGGAATAACCCTGTAAAACATGATAAATGGTGTAATGCCAAATACAAAGATAGCCCAGGGGTCTCCAGACACTATAACCACTTCAATGATATGAAGGAGTTGCAGTGCCCCTTTGTCCCAGTCACCCAATACTTCCAGGCACCATAAAAACAAAATTGAGATACTTGACTGTCTTATATTTCGCAAGTATGCTAGTCCTCACAAGGTGTATTCCCTTTATATTATATATTGAGTATTGGCAAAGGTTTATATATCTTAGCTTTACCATAGCACTCGAGTGTTATTTCTTAGAAGGGGCAGTTTCTATTTGGGGACCAAATCCCTCTTCTCTAAGAGCTCCAAATTGTTGGTTTGGCTGTGTGTATAACAGAGCTCTGCAGCATATCTGCCAATGTTTCCTTCCCATCTTCTGGCACAGAGGTGAGCAGGGAAAAGAGTAGGCTACCAAATACCTGATTGTCAAATGGGAGGGCGTATCTGTCAGAGATGTAGATCCACCCCTAATGAGGGTTGCCAGGCTGACTAACAGCCTGTGTTCTGCCAGATTTCAGGACCCTGATTGCAAACAAAGGAGGGATCCGCACTCTCATCACCTGTAGACCTCGGTGCACTATACCTAGGGCTGGCAAACCCCATATCCATTTTGTGAGATCAAAGTAGTCCAGGCACTCAGGGTCTTTATAAAGCAGCAGATTTATTGGTAAAACATGACGAATACAGTTGTATTTGTCATGTTTTACCAATAAAGCTGCTGCGTTATGAAGACCTGGAGAGATTGGACTACTTTGTTCTCACTATACAGAATTCAGTACCCGTCAGAAATTCAGACCTTTGTCATGTCCTCTGCAGACGCATCACATCTGGTGACACGGCATCATCTGTGGCCTGTGCTGCACATACGGGCTAGCAATCCTGATGGGTCCAGAAAACAGATGCATGCTACAAGCATGCGCGAGACCCCTGGGAGTGACGCGGCTTTAGACCTCCTCCGCCCTCATTACCACAGCCCTGGGACATTAAGGGTTAAAATTTGGGTTCGATTTATGGAGTAACTTTTTATTTACAGATTAGTGACCCCTAGGGAAAAAAGTTAAATATAAAATCTTGAACAGGGGTTATTTTAACTTAACTCCTTGACTTACTGTAAGCAGAGAGAGAGGCTACTGTTAGTTCCTAACCCAAATGTAACCCTTACTTTTACCCTAAATGTCCCATAACTTTAGTGAAGGGCAGCCTTGGTTCACAGGGTGATTATGCCTAGCATTGTGCCAGCTGTGGTTTAGTTTGCTGGATTTATCGTTCCATGTGCACTGGTATTTCTGCACTACATAGAACTAGCCCAAACAGGCATAAACGCCAATTTAATTTGGATCCCCGGATGCCACCCATTGCCTGTGCTGACTGCTGTCCCTTCCATTATGCTGAGCTAGCTCTACATGTTACAGTCTCTGTGCTCTCTCTTCCAATAAGTGACGTCATTTCCGGTCTGACTTCACACTATTGCAGTTACCTCCTGGGTCTGGGAAGTACAATAAGTCATTAGATGGCACCATGTCCCTACATTGGGCTGCCAGGGACTTCCTGCTATTCCAGTAAAGCAGACAAGAGCAGGGAAGACAGAAAACACAATTAGATCACATTTTCTGTGTCTATGTGTATAAGGCAAAAGGAGGGACAAAACCATTAACAGGAATGACAATTTGGGACTTTGGAGGGATTTATTGCTAGGAATGTGAATGACTGAGATAGGGGTACATTCTAAGGAAATCAGAGGTTGTTTTAATTTGGGAGGGCTTAATTGCAGAGTTTGTGGGGATCTACATTGGGGAAAGATGGGGTTGATTGGCAGAGAAGTATATTGCTCTAGTTTGGGAAGCAAGGGGTTAATTTCCTTGGGTCTTACATTGAGTAATAATAATTAATTAGCAATTAATGTTGGATGGGAACATTTGGGAGAAGAAATGATTAGCAGGGAGTGTCCTTATGCTGTATACAGCAAATTGTAAACCTTATGGTTGCACTGATACTGATTCCTTCTATTAGCAATCTTCTCACCAAAGATTATGCCAAGCAGTGACACAAAAATATATTATCATCTTAAGGTGTGTTATTATAGATGTTATTTGTAGATGTGTGTTGGAATATTCAAAGAAAAATGATTCATAATATCAGCCATTACGTGTTTTCTTGAAATCCACGTGGAATTTACAGAAATGGTCTGTAGTGAACATGCTGAATATCCTGTTATTGTCCATAAATAAAAGTTCTAAAGGATATTATCTATTTTTCTGTCTGTAACTCTACCCGTGTAGAGCTTTGTTGTATAAGAGCTGTTAGAACCATTTTTACAACTGAAACAATAGATTGATAACATTTATGATGCTAGCGTTTTAAATCCAGATTTGTGTTATAGCCTCATGCAATCTTCATCTTTCTTTTTGAACTGCCTTTTGCTGAGATGATCCTCAGCCTTTCTACCAAAATTCACTTAAAATGGGGCACAAATTAAAGAGATACTAATGTCACCCTGACCACTTTATCTCTGTGAGGTGGTCTGGGCGCGGAGCCCCTGTCCTTTTAAACCTGAAATAAACATTGCTCTTTTAATTTAGAAACTGCAATGTTTACATTGCTGGATTAAATCCTAAAAGCCACTAGCCTCCCGCCACACTGACTGAGTAAAACGGGGAAGCCTATAGAAAAGCATTTAATACTCTTCTATGGAGAAGCTTGGATACACGTGCGGCACTATGGGTATTTGGTGCTCTTCGAGGAGCATTGCATTGGACCATTGTCTCTTGAATAACGTGGCCGTAAGAAGTGAGGTGAGCAGAGCTGAGGGAGCTGTATAGAACAAGGGACACGGTGCTATAGCGTTATGAATACAGGTTTGTATCCCTAATGCTATAGTGTTCCTTAAAAACAACATGGAGCCCTGTATGATAGGTAGTTTGATAAATGGCAATGTAGTAATTATGCTGGGTGCTGTGTAGGTTTCCCTTGTATAATTGTAAAGACAAATCTAAATATTCTCTAAAATGTTATTAAACTTTCTCTTTAGATTTCCGCTGATCACATTTTCCTATCTCACAGTCTCACAATGGAGTTTGGGTGACAAGTGCTTATATGTGGTCAGGACTAAAGTAGGATAATGTAAAGGAGTGTCATTTTAAAGGACACTCCAGTCACCAAAACAACTTTATCTAAATTAAGTTATGGCGCCAGGAGATCCTATGAAGCACCCTTACCTCAAGGGGTAAACTGTTTTCGAATGGTCTAACCCTGAAGTAGCCTACAGCAGCTATCTTCATCGGGTGTCTCTGATTGGCTGAGAGCGTCAGCTGACCACTCTCAGCCAATCAGTGGCTCCCCTGCCCAGCGGCACTCTGTGCTTCCTGTAAGTGAAATTTCTGGAGCAAGGGGTTAAGCCATAACTGGGTGTTCCTTTTTTTAAAAAATAAGCCCATATGAAAGATATGTTGATAAAGTTAAATGTAGTAATTTTGCTGGATGCTGTAGGTTTCTTATTCAAATCTATATATTCTCTAAAATTGTATTAAACTTTCTGTTTAGGTTTCCGCTGATCATATTTTCCTATCTCAGTCTACCGAGTTTCTCTCATTTGCGTGACACGTAAGTGCTTAAAACTGGTCAAGGACTAGCATAGGGTATTGTAAAAGAGTGCCATTTATTTTAAGCCATAACTGGGTGATCTATTATATGTATATTTCTTATAAAACATTACAGGTTATTCCATCTGGGGTTTAGAACTAGCAAAGCACTACATTAGAATTAGACGTGATTACCATCTATGTTATGGCCAGTTTACAAGAGAAAAAAATAGTTACTTAATATAAAATATAGCATTCATACTTGAAACCAGGGTTGGCCAAATAGCAGACACTCTTTTCTTGAAGAACTACAGCTCTTAAGATTCTTCAGTTTCTACCACAGGGCAAAAGAAGCTTGCTTCCCTGGGTCCGATAATATACAGGGACTCTCAGCAGCTGTCCCTTGGTCTCTTTGTCAAACAGTCTATTCCCTTAATGAAAACACTGCTTTCCCAATCACATCTATGATCTGATTAGTTATCAGTATGAGCCAAGAACAGGCTCACTTCCAAAGAGGCACCTATAGTGGGTGGATGGGTGCCTAGCCCAATAGGAATCTGGTCTGGATTTCAAATCTACACAGAAAAAAAAGGAAATTGGGGGCACACCCGGAACATGCATTTCTTAGTAGTGGAGGACCTATATAGACCTAGGGAAACTGGTGGTGTAGCGTTAGGAATACAGGTTTGTATCCCTAACGCTATAGTATTCCTTTAAAAAGTATTCCTTTAAAAAAAAATAATCATGAAGCCAATACAATAGGTAGTTTTATCAATTTAAATGTAGTAATTATGCTGGGTGCTGTGTAGGTTTCCCTTGTATAATTATATAGACAAATCTATATATTCTCTAAAATGTTATTAAACTTTCTCTTTAGATTTCCGCTGATCACATTTTTCTGTCTCACAGTCCTCTACAAATTTTCTCTAATTTGCATGACAAGTAAGTGCTTATATCTGGTTAGGGACCGGTGTAGGATATTGTAAAAGAGTATAATTTAAGGCATAACTAGGTGATCTATTGTATGTATATTTCTTATAAAACATTACAGTTTATTCCATCTGGGGTTCAGGACTAGCAAAGCACTACATTAGAATTAGACGCAGTGACCATCTATGTCAAGCATGTCAAACTCAAAGGTTAACACGGGCCAAATAAAAAAGGTTTAAGTTTATAAGGGCCGTAAAAAAAACAAAACTTCAGTTTCCATAGAAACGTAGGTTTATTTAGAAAAGTACAGTATAAAAAAAGTTGACTGACATGTATGCTGTTACAAAAAAACAAATGATGTTATCTTGTTGATTTTGGAGTCCTATGAGTGTGTTCTTTACTTTGGCTGAGACCATCAAACTTGATGATCTCAGCCAATCTAATGCTTTCCCATAGGAAATCATTAGGAGCCTATTGAGCATGTGTGGCAAAAAGCTGTTCAGCTAATCAGCATCAGCATCTCCATGGGGAGCGTTAATACCCAATCTAATACACTGCCCCTCGCCCCCCCCCATTCTAATACACTGCCCACAAATCCAATACATTGCACCCAAATCCAATACACCACCTCCCCCTCCCCCATTCTAATACACCGCCCCTAAATCCAATACATTGCCTCCAAATGCAATACACTGGCCCACTTCCTCCACTCTAATACACTGCCCCTCCACCCAATCTAAAACACTACTCCTTAATCTAACACACTGCCCCTCGTTCCTCCACTCTAATTGAATACAATGACCCCCTCCCACCACGCTAATACACTGCCTCCCCCTCCAACCATTCTAATACACCCTTCCCACTCCCTCCCTCAATTTAATACACTGCCCCCTCCT